TGATGAGCACTCACGTAGTGCCTAAGGTACAGCTCCAAGAGTGCGTTGATTCGCTCGGTCTGTCCATCGGTTTGTGGATGAAATGCTGTGGAGAACCGAAGCTCGGTTCCCATGAGTTTGAAGAGCTCGGTCCAGAATTTGCTCGTGAACCGTCCGTCTCGGTCGCTGATGATGGACCGAGGTAAGCCCCAGTACTTGACCACATTCTTGAAGAATGCTTGGGCTACTTCGTCGGCTGGACACGCCTTTGAGAGGGGGATGAATGTCCCGTATTTGCTAAACCTGTCCACTACCACGAAAATAGCTCCAAACCCATTAGACTTAGGTAAATTGGTAATGAAGTCCATAGATACCGAATGCCAAGGGTGGTCGGCGATGGGCAATGGCTTGAGCAGTCCCGCCGGCTGTCTTTGCTCGATCTTGTCTTGTTGGCACACGAGACAAGTCTCGACATAGGCTTCTACATCAGCTTTGAGGTTCGGCCAATAGTAGGTCTCGGTCACAAGAGCTAGTGTCCTTTTCTCTCCGGGGTGGCCTGCCCAACTTGAGTCGTGGGACTCTTTGAGGATCTCCTTCCTCAAGTTCCCATGCTTCGGCACATAGATCCTGCGTCCACGAGAAAATACAACCCCGTCTCTTTCCCAAAACTTGCGAGTTTGGTGTTCTCGGACAAGTTTGAGAAGATGAGAGGCAGCGGGGTCGTGGGTCATGGCCTCTCGGATCCGACTTGTGAAGTCGGTCCTAGGCTCACTCCCTGTTAGTGTAGCGAGCTCCGGCTTGCGAGAGAGGGCATCCGCTACTACGTTGGCTTTGCCCGGCTTGTACTCCAAGTCGTAATCAAACTCGGCCAAGAAGTCTTGCCACCTTGCTTGTTTGGGGCTCAACTTCTTTTGAGTTTGGAAATAGCTTGTGGCTACGTTGTCCGTCATGATGATGAACTTGCTTCCGAGGAGGTAGTGACGCCAAGTCCTTAAGCAATGGACGACGGCCGTCATCTCCTTCTCTTGGACTGTGTATCTCTTTTCGGCATCCGTGAGTTTTCGGCTTTCGTAAGCAATGGGGTGACCTTCCTGCATTAGGACACCACCAATAGCATAATCGGAAGCGTCAGTGTGTACCTCAAAAGGCTTACCCACGTCGGGTAAGGTCATGACGGGTTCTTCCGAGACAATGGCCCGGAGTTTGTCGAACGCATCTTGACATTTCTCGGTCCACTCCCACTTCTTGTCCTTCTTGAGCATGTCCGATAATGGGGCTGCAATAGATGAGTATCCCAAGATAAAACGACGGTAGTAATTGACTAAGCCAAGAAACGACCGAAGTTGGGGGACGGTCTTGGGCTTGGTCCATTCTCGGATGGATTGGATCTTCTTGGGATCCATGAGGAGCTGTCCGTCCTTGATGTAGTGGCCTAGGAATTCCACTTCGGGTTGAGCAAAGCAACACTTCTCGAGCTTGATGTAGAGTTCGTTCTCTCGGAGGATCTCCAAGACGGTCCGAAGGTGACCTACATGCTCGGCTAAATTTTGGCTATAGACCACGATGTCATCCAAGTAAACCACAACAAACTTATCCAAAAACTCGTGAAATAATTGGTTCATCATGGTACAGAAAGTTGCCGGGGCGTTGGTCAACCCAAACGGCATTACCTTGAACTCAAATGAGCCATACCTCGTTACGCAAGCTGTCTTGGGTTCGTCTCCTTCGGCTATGCGAACTTGGTAGTATCCCGAACGTAAATCGAGCTTGGAGAAGACTCGGGCCTCCCTTAGTTGATCAAACAAGTCAGCAATCAAAGGTATAGGGTATTTGTTCTTAACCGTTACCTTGTTTAGTGCTCGGTAGTCGATGCACATGCGCAGCGAGCCGTCCTTCTTCTTTTGGAAGAGAACGGGAGCACCGTAAGGGGCCTTTGAGGGCTGAATGTAGCCAGCGTCCAGTAGGTCCTCAAGTTGCTTCTTGAGCTCGGCTAGTTCGGGTGGAGCCATCCGATAGGGGGCCATGGCTGGTGGTTTGGTCCCGGGGACGAGCTCGATCTCGTGGTCGATCCCACGTCTCGGGGGAAGCTTTCTAGGAAGCTCCGAGGGCATGACATCTGCATAGTCATCAAGAACTACACGTACCTCTCTAGGGATAGGAGTTTGGTCCGAGGAGCTCGAGTCATTGAGTTCTCGGACTGTTGCCAAGTAACACTCCGAGTTCTTGACGCCTCTTTTGAATTGCATGGCCGAGATAGAGGGGAGGATTGTAGGTGACTCCCGGAGTTGAACCACAGTCGGTTTCTCCCTGTCAAAGATCACAAGAGAGGAAGTAGCCTTGGGGATGAAGGTACTTACCGAACGGAAGAACGTGAGTCCAAGGACGAGTTTGAAGTCGTCCATCGGTAGGACTGTGAAGTCCGTCTTCCCTATCCAGTCTCCTATTTGGATCCGGACGTCTTTGGCCACTCCTACGGCTGCTAGGGCCGGTGAATTCACTGCCTTCACGGTCCCGCCATTCCCTTCCACTCGAAGCTTAAGTCTCTTGGCTTCACCTACATCCAAAAAGTTATGGGATGCTCCTGTATCAAACATTGCGGGAACGATCTTACCGTAAACCTCGACGTCCGCGTAGAGTAGGCCTTGTCTTGGGGCCTCGGATGACTTGTCTTTCCCGGATGGAGAAGGTTTTGAGAGGGCTCCAAAGCGTAGCATGGATCCGACACTTGCTTGGTCTTTGTCCGTGACTTTGCCTTTGCCTTTCTCTCTTGCCTTGTCGGGTTGAGTCTCCATGGCATTGACTTTGGCTCTCTTTGGGCATTCTCGGACCCAATGTGGACCACCACATAGATAGCAGGGGTTCGGTGGTTTGGAACGATCCCTAGGTTGGCCATGACCTTGTGAGTGGTTTGGCTTGTGGGGCCGAGGTTGTTCTCGGTTTTGGAATGAGGTCCGAGGCCTATTCCCTTCCTTGGGCCGAGGCTGCTGGTTGGGACGGCTCGAATAGTCCGGCAAACCCTCCACAATGGTGATGGCCTCGTCTAGGGTCTGTGCATTCCTCCTGTTAACCTCAAGACGAGCAAACTCCTTCAATCCGTCTTTAAAATGAAACATAATGAAGAGAATTCACGAATATAATCAACTATACTCCCTGTTTGTCGAAGCCTTCGGAACCTGGTCCGTGCTTCTTCACCCGCGTTGGTGGGGACAAAGTGTCGTCTCAACTCGGCTTTGAATTGCGCCCAAGTGTCGATTTGGCGCTCTCCTCGTTCTTGGTCAGCTAGTACACGTCTCCACCATAATAGGGCCAAATCTCTAAAGTAGGTGGGTGCATGGGTGATTCGGGATTGATCGTCTCTAACCCCATAGGAGTTAAAGTATTGTTCGATCCCAAAGATGAAAGACTCCACCGTTTGTGCACTCCGAGTTCCATTGAAGAGGGAAGGCTCGGGTGCCTTAAGGATAGGATGGTGCGGTGCTTGGACAGGGCCGGCTTGTGCGGTGTTCCTGTGTGTCCTGCACTCAAGTTTCAATTCATTAATTAGATTACGTAAATCGGTTACCTCGCGCTCGTGCGTTTCCTGCACAAGACGGAATCTGTCTTCGGTCATGTCTCGTTCTATCCGGTGTTGGCGGGCCAAGTCCTCAAGCATCTCCTTGGCGTTCCCACCTATGGCGGAGATCTCTTGTTCCAGGTCATCCACACGTCCGTCCAGATCTTCGACAGGCCGTAGACGTTCATCGAGACTCTCAAGCGTAAGGGTTGCTTGAGGAGCGTCCGCGGTTGCGTGCGCTAGGGCCTGGGCACGGGATCTCGTCATGCGGGGCTCCTCAGCCCCCCGTGCACCAGGGACGTGTCCCTCGGACTGGGAGTATGTTAACTTTCCTTTTCGGTTATTAAGCCAAACCTTAATAAAACCAGCTGGCTGGCCGAAAAGGAGGGTATCTCTCAATCCCCAAATCGAAACCTAAGTCCCGAACACCTCTTTTACAGCGCCGCCTTGTTCCTTTCTCGGGCCAACTCGCCGCCGGCTTACAAACCACGGTGGTTGTCCCTTCTTGTACCAAGGCCACGCTTCCCGTTGCGTGCCTCGGAACCCTCTCCCGTCCATAGTACGTCCGAGGCTTCCCCTTTCGTCCCCTTTGGCTCGACTGCCGCACGGACCATCCTAGCTTAGTTCTAGGCCCGTGACATTGTGGTATCAGAGCCTGGTTCGCTTTCAAACGAACTAGGTCTCGATCCTTAACCGCTTCCGCATTCTAGAAGTCATCCTCGTGCTCCCATGTGTTTTGGGAGTCGGGTAAGC